TCCCCAGCTCTCTCCATTCCCCCCACCTCAGCTCCCTTACCAGGGCCCTGCCTCTCTATTTCTTCTGCCTTCGTCCCCTGGACTGTCCAATGGGCTCTGACTCACTGTCCCCTTCATCTTCAGCAAGCCGATCGGGAAACTTCTTGCGTTTCCTGCGGACATATGGGTGGCCAGGAAGGTGTTTATGCAACAGAGCCACCAGACACTGTTCTGTCTTCACCATACAGTTTAGCACATGGCTGCCCCGGCAGTTGTAGAGCTCAGCATTGGTAAACACTTGCTTCATGTCAGTAAGAAACTCCTGCACAGAGCGGTAGCTCCCACAGGAACATTTGTTCTGCATTGTCTGGAAGTCCATGGGGTGGGTGATGACATCATAGTAATCCTCGGCCTCGTCTCTGGTCACCGGCTCCCTGTGGAAGAGAACCAAACGGAGATGTGAACGTAGCCTCGAGAACAGACACAAACCTTGTTATCAAACCACCGCTCCCGGGACGCCCGCCCCTGCGGAGATCGGCCAGCTGGCAGGCGGAGAAGAGGTGCGTCCACCTTGTACAAAGTGCTCTCCCTTACCAGTTTGGGAAGCTAACTCCTCCACCACTCACACATGTCCTAAACGAAGGGATCGGGGTGGATCCCACGGCCTCCGCTCAGCACGCCCCGGGCCAGCTGCCTATCTGCACGCTCTGAGAACCCACAAGGTGGGTCCTGCTTCCCTGTGCTGGAGACACAAAGCCCACCTGAAAGGCCAGCTGAAGCGGTACTTCACAATCTTGTGGAGGATCTCTTCACACTTCTGCAACTCCAGGCTTTGCCTCCGGGAGCTCCGCTTGGTCTGGAGTACCTGGCACCAAAAAAGAGAGACATGTTATTACAGGTCCAAGAGAAGAGTGGACGGAAGAGAAAATGTGTGTATCTGTTTTTAAAAAAAAAAAAAAGGAGTTCAACCATTTTCTTGGAGCAGAGATCGTCAACATCATCTGACATTCAAGTCAGGATGCGCTCAGCCAGGGGGCAGGCGTCTTCCCATCAGCCCACTTGCCTCCTCCCTGCAAAGGGAGCAGCAGAGGGCAGGCAGCAGTTGCCGTATTACAGCCGTCCTGCTGGAGGTCAGCTAGAGAGCCCACTGTCACCAGGACGGCGGCCTGAGAGCAGATGGACCTGGGATTATGTGCACACCATGGAGGGGTATAAAACAGCAAGTGCGGAGAACTGGACTGGTTACAGGGACCACTGGCGGCTAACTCTGTGGGGGTGGAGGGCCTGAGGGAAGAAAAGCCGGAGGCACGACTCCTTTCCCGGGCTCTCCTGCTGCAGGCATGTGGGAGCTAAGTGGCTGAGGAGGAAAGGGCGGGTGTCCCCTCCAGGGAGTTATCACTGCTGCGGCTCACAGTGGTCAGAGCCACGGGCTTGAAGAGTTAGTTAGGGTCGGGCCAGCAGAAGGATCTCACAATGCCCCCGAGCTCCCCAGAGGCTCACTTTATGCCCCCAACCCCAATTTGCTCTGTCAGAATAAGTTAATTTTCAAGAGCCCCTTTATTGTTCTTGGAAGCTCAAGTAAAATCTGAAGTAAAACCACTAAAATTACATTGGTTGGGGGAGCAGAGGGGAGGGTAACACCCCTCCACGACAACTGTCGGCAAAAGACTCAAGAGTGAGTGAGGCTCCAACATTGCTGACATTCCCACAATGGAGACCCAGCCCCTCTGAGCCACTGGAGACACATGGATACTATTTTAAAATCCCTAACAAGTCACAGGCTGCCTATTAACTAGGGGAGACGATATCTGCAGGCTACAGCAGGGGAATGCCGGACATAGCTGCTCCCGGAGGGCCTGCTGCCTCCAGGCCCACCCATCTGCCACACGCAGCAGCCTGCAAAGTTGGGGAGGGGGGCGCCAGGGGGAGGCTTCCACCTGTTGCACGCTGGCGGGGGAGGGGGGGAGCGTTAGAGGGAAGGGGAGAAATCACTTACCAGCTCCTCCACCTCAGCGTCATCCACAGGTGGTACCTTCGGCCGAGACTTCCTAGCAGGATGAGGCTTCTTGCCTGGCCGTCGTCCTGGCCTCGCTGCAGGAGGGATGACACCATGCTTGCCCCGGACAGTCTTTCGAGGTCTCACTGAAATAGAAAACATGGATTTGGAGTCGAACAGCTGAGGAAGAAGGGAACACATCTATGGAATGGGAAGAGCACCCAGTCGAGCAAAGCAACGGCTCCCCGTGGTTGTAAGGAGCTCTTACAGTTTCTCTCTTGCCTTACCTAACAGGACACTTTAAAGGTAGAGAAGGAGATGAACGGATAGCTTTCATCAACTGCCAAAGACCTGCTAAGAGTCTCTTCGGCAGGCTCTCTTCAGAACGGCTCTCTCTGCCCCACTGTTCACAGTCACTCCTGGGAACGAACGAGTCAGTGGTGAGCTGACTCACCCAGGAGGAGAGGCCGTCTGCTAACAGGTCTGCCTGGAATTCCCACAGCCCCAGCTCAGCCTGTCAACGTACGTCCTTACGTGGAAGGGGGACTCTGAACGTAGAACACTTCCTAGTTCCCCAAGGAATCCTACATTCACCACAACCTTCTCAGAGAAAAGCAGATACCTATGCAAAGTCTCCCTCATCGAATCCAACTTCTGGCTTACCCTAGTCCAGCTTTCTTGCATTTCTGAAAACCACAGACAGTGGACCAGGCCACTTCCACAAGAGCCCTTGCCCACAACCCCGAAAGGAACAATAAAGAATACAAAGACCCCCAAGATGACCTGTGTCTCAGGTTTACAACAGGTGGTCAATGTCAGACAAACCAACATTTCTCAATATGTCCTCCAGGAGCGATGTTCTATAAGGATTAGCTCAAAGCTTCTCCACTGAACACAGGGAGGTGACATGTGGACAGAGACGGGGGTATACACAGTCAGTGACACAAAGAATCAATAAACAGTGTTTTACATTCACTTCTGGACCCTGATAACCCTTCATAAGCTATTTTAAGGTCTCTAAGCTCAAGACCAGGCTTGAAAGAGAGAATAAAAAAACTGACAACAAGGATGAAACTCAAAATGCTAGAGACAGCCACCAACCCAGGGCCTCGAGCTATACTAAGGAACACATCTTTGGTGGCCTAAAAGGTGCAGCAGACAAAGGGCTCAGAGGTATACTAATATTTCCTAGACCCTTTTGGCAGACAAGAACCTAGAAACCTGGAGAGAGAACAATTCCTTGGAAAGAGAAGATAACTCACAAGTGAAAGCATCCACTACTCCGAAAACAAACCAAATGAGTACACTGTTACATTCAGAATCTATTCCCAGACAACCGTGCATCTGAACTGCACTCTCTAGCCAGCAGATGAAGTCTCTTCCTGTAAGGGACTACGTGTCTCCTTACCCTGGATAACTGGAAAATTATGCCTGGGGAATAAAAAATAAAAAAAAAAAAAACAAAAAAAAAAAACCCTCTAGGAATGAGAGAAATTAATGGGTCTCAAATTAGAGCCCTGCAGGACTGGGAAGATGGGGGCAGGCGGGCACACCCAAACCTCTCAAGGTTTTAGCAGCACCACCGCCAGAAGACTGGTCACACCAAACACCTTCTCAGACTCTATACCAAGATGTGAATGTTCAGAGTGCTGTGATCTTGGGAACTGTATCATCTGTTCAAAAGCTCATCAAAATCTTGACTTGTGGTCTCTTTTCTACCAACCTACAAGGAAGGGTATATACTCTGCAAAGAAGAAGGCTGTTGAAAGTCTAGACTGCAGGACTTTAGGCTTAAGCATGAAAAGGACTCATGAAAAATGACCATCACAGAAGTGAGAGAGTCAACGAAGTCAAGTGTAAATGATGAGGCCTCCCCAACCCTGGCTCCTGCTGGCATCTAGTGAGAAACAGATCTGAACCTTCCAAACAACCACCCTAACCCATGAGAAAACAAGTCTTCTCTTTTTAAAACCAGCAAACCTATAGACCTGCATGCCACATAAATGAGAAAAATCACTGTAACCAGAGAAAAAAATCACTTCTCTGACAGCAGCACTGCACCAGAGGCTAAAACAACCATTAAGAGATGACAATGGGCCTAGACCTTCCTTACCCATTGTCCCCACTGTCCCCATACACTGAGAGGTTTGAATCAGGAGACTCGTCATCAACACACTTGGGGGCTTGAATTCCACTCAATCTTGGACCAACTGGACCTACCATAGGGGTGATCCAACCTCCCACTAGGAAAGTGGTTAAATGGCATCTTGAAAACCCATTTGAAACCATGGCAGTGGAGTCACCCACCCCACAGCCACAACATGTGAGAGCAATGCTGGGTGGGGGTCCGCTGCCAACGCAGTCTTCCTAAGGCAGCCTGGAAAACTGTGAGGTCAACTATGAAGGCAAACTGAATACTTACATCGCAAACCAGCCACCTCATAATCTTCCTCCTCCTCCTCCTCCTCCTCCTCTTCCTCCTCTTCATTGCTCTCATCATCTTCACTGTCCTCAGAGGCAGACTCTTCAGTGTAATTCCTGTGGGGAGGGAAAAGCACGTAGGGAAGGACCGTGGTTCTAGGCCTAAGCGCTCCTGAGGAAGGATGAATTCCCACACCCCTGTAGCTTTCTCCTCTTCACCAACTAGGCAGGTTTGATGACAAGGCCAGGACACGGGAAGCAGAACGAAAGCCTAAGCTTCAATGGCATCTCTCCCCAACCAGGCCATAAATGCTTTGGATGAGACACCAACAGCACCAGAAATCAAGCGCAAAATACAACCCCACCTCTCCTCACATAAAACAACACAAAACCTGTTTCTTTTGTCTCAACAGAATCAGCCAGGTAACGTAACATTTCAGATATGAAAAGTTGCTCCCGACCTTGGGGCAGACTGAACGAATGAGCAGCCCGGACAGGTGTTACTCCACCTTGACGGCCCCGTTCCAGGAGTGGGACAGCTTACAGATGACCACGACATCAAAGCGATGCTAATCCCGGCTCTGAACAGCTGGTCTAAAGCCCCACCATTTCAGAGGAGTGTGCCTTACTCGGCTCTCAGTGTGGCTGGAGCGGAGTGAGAAATAACTGAGTAACGCTGTCACATGGGGTCAGGATCAAACAGCTCTGCCCTCTCGGAGACCAAGCCAGAGAACCCAGAAGCTGCCCTTTCACAACCTCCAATTGCAATGTGGGAAACAACGGGATTAACTTGGCCAGTATGAAGGCATCTCCTCTTTACAAGGCCCCGGTGTTCGGCCTTGTGGGGGTCAGGGTGGTGAACAAAGCACCACCTCCACTCTCAGGGCAGCAGCAATCTCCTGGAAGACAGTCACTTGTAAGCCTAATCATAGAGGCACGATGCACCAAAGACCGCAAGACTGGATGCTCACTTGGAACACAGAGGAGGAACAACTAATTTTACGAATACAAAAACACTTCAAAAAAGTGAAATTTTAGGTAGGCCATAGGCAGTTCCCTCAGTACTGGGGAGAGGGAATATTCCCAGCTAGGAGGAACACACAGAGGCAAGGATACCCAATGAACAGTCTGTAACAAGCACACAAAATGGGAATAAGGGCTCATAAAAACAGACAGGGGAGGGACCCCACGTCAGGCTCTCAGCTGTCAGCATGGAGCCTGGAGCCTGGAGCCTGCTTTGGATTCTCTGCCTCCTTTTCCTCTCTCTGCCCCTCCCCTGGTCATGTTCTCTCTCTCGTTCTCAAAAATAAATAAATGTTAAAAAAAAAATTTTTTTAACACAGACTGGGTGCACCTAGGGCTCAGTCAGTTAAGTGTCCAACTATTGGGTTCAGCTCAAGTCATGATCTCACGGTTTCATGAGTTTCAGCCCTGCAGTGGGCTCTGTGCTGACAGTGTGGAGCCTGCTTGGGATTCCCTCTCTCTTTCTCTCTCTGCCCCTGCCCTACTTGTGCTGTCTCTGTCTCTCTCAAAATAAATAAACAACAACAACAAAGACCAGCATTCTATAACAATCTCAAAAATTAGGCCCAGGAATTTGGACTGTATTTCTAGAGGCAGTGGAAAAATTAAGGTTTTTTAAACAGGAGAGTAACACGAACAGATCTCTGCCTTATGTAAACTCTTCTGGTATCACCACAAAAGCTGGACGAATAAGAGGGGGAAAGATTGGAGGTAAGGAATTAAGAAGCCACTGGAGGAGCCCAGATGAGAGAGACAGGAGGGCCAAATGACAGCAGGGACCATGGAGAGTACACAGCAGATGACTGATTTTGTAAGACGTCTGGACACACAGATAATGTCTGGCAAATGAGCATGGAAGTTGAGAGAGGAAGACTTTCAAGTTGACAGCAAAGTTGTAATCATGATCAGGAAGGAAAACAACAGGTATGCGTAAGGAAGGTCAGGAGTTTCGGGATTTTTAGCGGTGGGTGGTTGCAGAAGTGATCGCAAATCAAGAAGTGGCCCAAGTGGAAGTAAAAGGCAAAAGGAGACATACTGCTAGGCAGGATCAAGAAGACACAGAACGTGTCTCACAATGAAGATGAGAAATGTCAACATTAAGCTAAAGTGAAATCAGAGTCCTTTGACCTCTTACTGTAATACCTTAAATGATCAGGCTCCATACGCAAAAGATGAACTTACAGCTCCTTAGAATAATTCAGTTTGAATAACTAAAGCTTAATTATAAACCAGCCATTTCATCTGTTTTTAAAAGAAGAAATTCTCACCTGCCACGGGAGTTGCGCCTGGCAGTAGCAGGCTGGCAAGCGGGGCACTGCCACTCACCATCTGGCACCTCATAGAGGGCTGGCCTCAGACAAAACAGGTGGAAGGCTTTGTTACATTCATCACACAAGATCAGTTTGTCATCCTCACCTGCAAGGAGATAAACTTGTAGAGCACTGTCGGGAGCACAGCAATGGTTGGCAAGCTGTAACAAAGAGCCACTCACCCACCCTCCATTAACGCCATAGGGGAGCCAACAGTCTAGCAAACTGTTATCCCTTTTTAGAAAAAATGCAGTCATTTCTGAGAAGAAATGAAGCATAACTATACTACTCGTAATTGAACACTCAGGTCTTCTGACTTCTATCCCCAAATCCAACTCCATCTAGGAGAGGACAGTTAAAACATTTACAAAGTGGCAGCAAATACCAAGTCCTAGCAGGAAATGTCACTGCTCCTCTCCCACTAAGAAACAAACCCCCATGAAGTATTAACATTTCCTATCCATCCTCTTCCTCGATACCCATCTGATATCGTTCTCTTAAATCACTCGGTTTCAAAATATATGAAATCAACCTGACATGGTCACTTCCCTCTAGAACATTTATTCTAAAACAATGTTGAGAGCAACTGATGGGTTTTACACAGGATCTTTTCATCCTTGGGAAGGGAATTAAATCCTAACCTAGTTCACAAAATAACTTCAGCCACTGAGAAGGCACTTGAGGGCTATTAGTCATTAAGTTCCTTTTACACGGGTTCTGAAAGCTAAAAGCATTAAAGAGTCCCAAACGCCTTGCTCTGTAGGACTGTGACAGTTGGCCCAAACCTGAGTAGTCTTCCCAATGCACAAATACTGCCCTCTGCTGGTAGAATATCTTACTTCATGGATGACTAAAAACTCAGATTTAAAATTGTAGGTTAATTTTGTTCCCTGTAGAAAATTTAAAGATTGGCAAGATAAACCGCTCTTATATTCAAAACTGAGGAACAAAGGGTTTTCTCTGATTTGCTGTCATGTTACTTCAAAGGGCAGCATTTTACAGATCTCTAGAAAAAGGCAAATTCTGTTCCATTACACTTGAAAGTTGTGCACAGCAATCTTCAGGGGGGGAAATATCTTTGGAATGGAAGCCCCAGTCCCTATTACACTCAGACACACAACACTGATTTAAATATACCTTTCTTTCGACAAACTTTGCATCTAGCATTTTCTGCTGACATATCCCACTTGATACAGGCATCAAGCATCCCAAGTAGAACATGCATTCTGGAAAAAGTCTGAGCTTCACGGATTGCTGTCTTCCATTTCTCCAGAGCAGACGCAACCTAAACAGAGACCACATCAGGTCAGCGCTGCCACAGTGACCTCAAGGACATGACATGCAGACTGTTGGCGAAATGCTGCCGGAGAGCATGAACTGACAGCATCAGGAACAGGTGGAGGGGTGAGAGAATGCTGGATACATTTATCTCCTAGGGCTTTTCCAGTCTCACCCATTTAGTTTATAGAAGAAATCAAGGCTCTGAAGAGTGGGAAAAACTTACCAAAGGTTACATAAAGAATTAAGGCAGGGGGTGGGGGGCGGGGAGGGTGATCAGACACCTGTCTCTTCCAGTGAAATCCACTTAAAGATTGAGTGTCATTTAAAAGCACGAACACCTCTGTACACGCTAAGCGTGCAGTAACGTCATGTAGCTACCGCAACTCTGGTCAACAAGATGATCGGTTTCTGTGTTATGTGCCACAACCCCAGTTTACAGGGCCTGGAAATTATAGTAAATACTCTCCATGAAACATTCTACAACACTTAAAAAATATTTTAATTTTTTTTTTAAATGTTTATTCATTTTGGAGAGAGATAGTGTGAGCAGAGGAGGGTCAGAGAGGGAGACACAGACTTCAGGTTCTGAGGTCAGCACAGAGCCCGATGCAGACCCAAACTCACAAACTGAGATCATGACCTGAGCCGAAGTCAGCCACTTAACCGACTGAGCCACCCAAGTGCCCCAACACTTAAAAATACTATGCACTGATCTGAAGTATTCCTCTTGACTTTATCACCAACTTGTAAGTGAAAATTTCAGAGGCCCAGGGCTCAGACTCACTTCTTCCCGGGAGTTACTCTCAGCATAATAAGCACTGCCTCTTCCCATCTTCAGAAAATGCAAATTAATTCAGAATAAGCCAGGGAAAACACAGTTAGGAAGGGGGAGGAGGGGTTAAAACTCTCAACAACAGGGGCACCTGAGTGGCTCAGTCGGTTAAGTGTCCAACTCTTGACTCGATTTCAGCTCAGGTCACGATCTAAGGTTCATGAGATTGAGCCTGCATTGGGCTCTGCGCTGACGGTGTGGAGCCTGCTTGGGATTCTTGCTCTCCCTCTCCTTCTGTCCCTCTCTCACTAGCACGCATGTGTGCCCTCTCTCAAAATAAAAAAACTTAAAAAAAAATTCAATGATAAACACAACCCTCTCTCCTATAAAATATACATTCTAAGGAAAACCAGAAATGCCATTTTTGGATTAATTCCTTTATTTGTATTACTGTTTCATTAATCAAAAGGTGTTTATATCTTCAAAACATTTCTTACCTCAATGATGAGGTAAGCATCTGCATAAACAAATGCCTCTAAAGGGATTATCATTCTCAGACAGTCAGAAAACACAGCAGCGATGGAGGGAAAGCTTGGGAGCTACACCGGAAGCTGAGAGATTAGGTCATCCTACTGTCATCCACCTTTTGGGGATCGTATTGCTTAACCCGGCCAACCTGGCCGTAACTGAACTCAAATTCAAGGAGCAATGCCTACTGCTTTTACAACTTGGCTACCAGGCCTAGCTGACTAACTGCTGCACATCTCTGCTCTACCCTAGGCAGAGGTCTATTTTAAGTAATATAGTCTTTATCTTATAGGAAAGGCTAGTTATCCTGGAAGCCCACAGGCTTTAAAATAGAGCTGCCAAGGGACAAAGACCGTTGAGCTACTTCTGAAGCTGTGGTGTGAGGTTTGAGAGTGGGGAACAAAGGCTGCCCTTTCTCTTTCTTATGGAAACAGAGAACCACAGAGAGCCCTGTGTGTATCAATTCATGAATAACAAGAATACGTAATATAAATACAACAAAAAGTCTATTTAAGGGGCAGCTAAAATTCTAGTAGAATCTGGCTCATTCCTTACTCCAACCTCCACTGCAGATAATTTCAACATCTGCCTTCAAAATACAGTACAATTTCCTTCCTTCCCTCCTCAGAGCTCCTCAGTAAAATGTGAAGTCCACAATCGCAGCTTGCCTCGCTGGGCTGGGCTGTTCCCATGATGCCAGGGAGAGATGACCTATGGTACACAGATTCTTGTAGCATGGTAACAACCCACATGCCTTCAATGGAATACAAATTTAAGAATTTTAGGTTCAGGGGCACCTGGGTGGCCCAGTCGGTTAAGCATCTGACTTTGGCTCAGGTCATGATCATGCAATTCCTGAGTTTGAGCCCCGCGTCATACTCGGTGCTGACAGCTCAGAGCCTGAAGCCTGCTTCAGATTCTGTCTTCCTCGCTCTCTGCCCCTCCCCCGCTCATGTGCGGTCTCTCACTCAAAAATAAGTAAACATTAAAAAAAAAAAAAAAAAAGATTCAGTCCTTAAAAAGAGTGCCCTAACAGACAGAAATGGCTCAAATGGGCTTTGCTGTCCTCTAGTGGACAGACGCACAAGAGCATTCAAGAGTCCTATTAGCATATAGTACCCTTTTTTTTTTTTTTTTTTTTTTTTTTTTTTTTTTTTTTTTTTTTTTTTTTACTATTTCCTATGAATTACAAGATTTGAGTGTGCTCAATAGCACATCTGGCCTCGTTAAAATAAAAAAAAATTTTTTTGGAAGATCCTGGAAATAGGCTTACTTAACCTCATTTTAATACAGACTTGAGACATAATTTATGTTAACAAGTTCACCTGTAAAGAAACAATGGTTTTTCATGTATTTGCAGAGCTGTACAACTAGCGGCATAATCTTAATTCTAGAACATTTGCAGCATCCCCGAAAGAACCCCTGCACCCACTAGTAGCCACTCCACATCCTCCACCCTAACCCACCACTTCCCCAGACCTAGGCAACCACTAATTCACTTTTGGTCTAGAGATTCTCTTATTCTGGACATTCTGTATACCTTTTGTGTGGCCTTTTGTGACTGACTTCTTTTACTGAGCATAATTTTTCTAGGTCCATCCACATCGTAGCATATAACAATACTTCATTCCATTTTAACTGCTGAATAATAACCACTGAATGGATAATTCACATTTTGTCTATCCATTCATCAGTTGAGGGACATCTGGGGTATTTCCATTTTTGGGCTATTATAAATAATACTGCTATGAACATATGTGCACATTTGTATAATCTTCATTTACTATTTTTGCCCGAAGTCTCAGCAATTTGGGGCCAGGTCTCCTTCACATTTCTAGATCCCCAATCCCAGTGCTCTTGACATCATAGATACTGGACAATCACTAGCATCCTGTTAAACCCACTGAGTTATCCACTTAGACCAGCCTACATTCCAACCAACCTCTAATATTGAGGGCAAAACATTAGGCATTCAAGATTTGAAAGACCATCCTGTTCTCCTGTCACTGTAAAAACTTCCAAACAGTCCAGCACATTAAAACAAAAACCCCACACCATATTCAAGACACTGGGTTTTTTGTTGTGCTTTTAAAGACACTGTTGGGGTGCCTGGGTGGCGCAGTCGGTTAAGCGTCCGACTTCAGCCAGGTCACGATCTCGCGGTCCGTGAGTTCGAGCCCCGCATCAGGCTCTGGGCTGATGGCTCAGGGCCTGGGGCCTGTTTCCAATTCTGTGTCTCCCTCTCTCTCTGCCCCTCCCCCGTTCATGCTCTGTCTCTCTCTGTCCCAAAAATAAATAAAAAACGTTGAAAAAAAAATTAAAAAAAAAAATAAAGACACTGTTTTCAAACCAGATATACAGTGGCAACAAAGTTTTGACATTCGACACTGGTGGTATCCAGTAAATCCTCTAGGTCTTACAATGCTGCTGGAGGCTAAACACATTATTCTGATGGAAAATTCAAATCTCTAGCATGTTTAAATAAAATTGGTCCCTAGGTAGAAGTGGATGTAACAGAATCAAGGGGAAGCCAGCTTACCTGCAAAGTTCCCATTAATCCTTTCACTAACAGTAAAAAGGCAATATCCTATCTTGGCAAGGATATGACAAGGCTTTCAACCACATTCTTCCACAAAAGAACATTTAAAATGGAAAAACAGATAATCAAGTTTAGGGACAAATGCATCCAAAGTAAATAGCCTAAAAGAACTCAGGATTTTGCCAATTTATACAACGGCTTTCCCACTTAATGCAAAAAAAAAAAAAAAAAAAAAAAAAAAAAAAATTAAATAAACATTAAATATCTGAAATCATCAACTATTACAAAAAGGGATTCGAGAAACCATCTACTTTATAAGTAAGGAAACTGAAGCCCATTTTAAAGACATATTAGTTCAAGCAACCACCTAGTGCCAGCTGAAAAACCCTAGCCTGTGCTAAGTGGAAACCTTCAAAGCAAAGGGCAGTGGAAAATTTCAGAGCTGTGGCAAAGTTGACCTTTGGTCGGGAACTGCAAGCAGGGCATAATGCCATTTTAATGGAGAACATTGTTGAACTACTTAGTAGGCAACCTAATTGATTTTCCAAGAAACTCTTCCATGCTTTCCATTTGTGTACCATGTGTCTGGGCCCCAAGGTTAAACCAGCAAAATGCTCATATTTTCCTCCCCGATCAAGTTAAGAATGAAGTCTCATATGACAAGCTAAAAAGAGGTTACTTTGCTATGGGGAGGAATATTAAAAAAGAACTTTTGACAAGAATTCTATAGCTACTGCTGCGCAATGAGAAACTGTTACTGGCAAAGAACTGTCAAGGGAACATCACATCAAGAAAGAGACTCTTCTGGATACAGTTAAAAATAAAGCCCATGTAGGGGCGCCTGGGTGGCGCAGTCGGTTAAGCGTCCGACTTCAGCCAGGTCACGATCTCGCGGTCCGGGAGTTCGAGCCCCGCGTCAGGCTCTGGGCTGATGGCTCAGAGCCTGGAGCCTGTTTCCGATTCTGTGTCTCCCTCTCTCTCTGCCCCTCCCCCGTTCATGCTCTGTCTCTCTCTGTCCCAAAAATAAACGTTGAAAAAAAAAAAATTAAAAAAAAAAATAAAGCCCATGCAGTACTCAGCAAGGCTAAAACTGAGGCCTAATGAGAAAAGACTTAGCAAAGGAGACTATTAACCATCTAACATCTTAGACTTCATCTAGAAGCTTACCTGAATGCCGTGCCACCATCAAAAGAGAACACAGAGAAGTGGGAACTAAATCCCAGGAAGATACCAACATGTGTGGAGTGTTTGAATCTAAGTCATGAATTAACAGTTAAACCTTTATTGGGGTGCCTGGGTGGTTCAGTCTGTTAAGCATCCGACTGCGGCTCAAGTCAAGATCTCACAGTTCATGGGTTTGAGCCCCGTGTCGGGCACTGTGCTGACAGCTTGGAGCCTGGAGCCTGCTTCAGATTCTGTGTCTCCCTCCCTCTCTGCCCCTCCCCACTTGCGGTCTGTCTGTCTGTCTGTCTCTCTCTCTCTCTCTCTCTCAAAAATAAATAAAAACATTAAAAAAAAATAGTTAAACCTTTATCGGACTGAATCTTAGCTCTCTGCTCTGCTTACCTCCTTCCCAAAAGCATCCTTTTATCATGCTTCACCCTTGGCCTGAGGAAGAAACGGAGGGTAACTTGACAACAGTGTACAAATACCTGAGGAGCTTTAGAGAATAAACTCATTCTGTGTTCTTATCAATTTGGAGGGAAAACAAGGACCAGCTGGCCCGTGAGGAGAAAGCCAATGTCAGCTCAATCTAACGAAGTCTATGTGCCCTTCCACGACTGGATTAACTCCTACTTATTCTTCAAAACCCAGCTGACATGGCCTCTCCTCTGGCCCCGCTTTCCCCTAGGTACCCCTCACAGGCAGGCTGGCTCCTGCACTTTCTCATCAGCGCTCGGATGCCACCAAGACCATCCTTCCCATGCCAGCGGGACTCTTTGAGGGCAAGGACTTCTGGCTTTTACTCATCACCATGACCTCCAGACTTCCCACACGACTGGCACAAGGCAAGTCTTTACCAGATGTTTGTGAACAGAAGGAAATGAGGGAGTGGAGAAAAATCAAAAACAGGGAAAAGTGTTCTTCTATGGGATAATGCCTGGGACCACTCCCTTCATGTAGTGTTTTCAAATTCTTTTCTTCCTAAGTAATCTTAAGCAGAAATCTAATAGACAAAACAAAAAAATGGAGCTAATTATTCTAATAAAGAAAAACCAGAGACATTTCATCAGTAAGGAATTAAGATACTGAGAAAACAGTGTCATGTGGATCTATATGGACTGAAAGCAGACAGAAAGAGATTATGCTGAGGGGTGAAAAATCGCAGAACATTATGCAGATGACTCCATTCTGTACAACTGCCATAAAACTATCTTCATATGTATACAGAAAACACACCAAAGTACTAAAGACTGATATCCTTGGGGAGCAACACCAGGACAGGAGTGGTTTCATGCTTTACGGTACCTCTCACACTGGATTTACTTACAATGAGCATGTTACTTTTAAAACTTAAAAACCAAAAAAACTGGATATCCACATGCAAAAAACTGAGGTTAGACCCTTACTCTACAAAAATTAACTCAATATGAATAAAAAATTCATTTAATTATTAATTTTTTTGAGAGAGAGCACGCGCGCACACACACCCGTGTGCACAAGCGAGGGAGGGGCAGAGAGAGGGGGAGAGACTCCACGCAGTCAGCACAGAGCCCAACGCGGGGCTCGAACCCATGAACCACGATATCATGACCTGAGCCGAAATCAAGAGTCAGGTGCTTAACTGACTGAGCCCCCCCAGGTGCCCCTGGATCAAAGATTTAAGTGGAAGAGCTCAAACTCTAAAACCTGTAGAAGAAAACAGAGGGGAAGGACATTAGATTTGTTGACACTGGATTTGGCAATATTTCCTGGATGTGACACTAAAAGCAGAAGCAGCAAAAGAAACAACAGGTAAGGTGAATTTTGTCAAACTTTAAAACTTTTACACATCAATGGACATCACCAAGAGAAGTAAAAGGCAGCGCAAAGGATGCGAGAATATATTAGCAAATCACACATGTGATAAAGGATTAATACCCAGAACGTATAAAGAACCTACATAACTCAATAGTGAAAAATATACAACCCAATTAAAAAGCAGCCAAAGGACTCAAAGCAACATTCCCCCCAAGAAGACAGACAAAAGGCCAACAAAAACATTGCTCAACATCACTAATCATTAGGGGAATGCAAATCAAAACCACAAGAGATCACTTCACACCCATCAGGATGACTGCAACCAAAGAAACAGAAAATACCAAGTGTTGGCAAGAATGCGGAGAAATCAGAGCCCTTGTGCACTGCTGATGGGCATGTAAAATGGTGCAGCTTCTATGGAAAACGTGACCGTTCTTGAAAAAATTAACCAGAATTACTATAATGATGCAGCAATTCTACTTCTAGGTATACAGCCAAAAGAACTGAAAGTAAGAACTAGAACAGATAGCTGTATGCTGGTGTTTAAAGCAGCATTACTGGATGTGAGGGCCACCGGCTGCAATATCTGTCATGCCAGTTCTCCAGGATGGATCTGGCACATGTGGTGGGCTAGCTGAGTGTATCCTTCCTCCCTCACTGTACAGCCCTCCTGAACCTTCCCCCATAGAGCAGGACCATTCTTCAGTCAAGGGTATACAGTGGCACTCCCCTGCTAGAGGCTCCCAGCAAGCTCTCAAGGCCCACAGCAGCATCACCCACTAGAGCCAAAAGGTGGAAGTTACCCAAGTGTGCATGGACGGATGAATATGGAATGTGGTATATACACAGAATGGACTATTACTCAGTCTTAAAAGGGAAATTCTGGCACGTAATATAACACAGATGAGCTTTGAAGACGTTATGCTAAGTTAAATAAACCAGTCGCAGAAGGACAAATAGCATGATTCCACTTCTATGTAACGGTGCTCAGACTAGTTGAATTCAGACGCAGAAAGAAAGTGGTGGTTGCCAGGGATTGAGGGGAGAGTGAAATGGGTGGTAGTTCAGTCTTTAAGGGGCAGAGTGTCAGCTTGCAAAGGTAAAAAGGTTCTGGAGATGGACAGGGGAGATGGCTACCTAATACTGTAGGTGCTCGACACACAACTGACAAAGAGCATAGAAATGGCTAAAATGACTAAGTGCTCATTATGAGTATTCTACCATTTTTGAAAACTTAAAAACTGCTACCACCTTTTAAAAAGAAATCAGCTCTGGCAAAAGGGGCTGGGGACACTCTGAGCCATTATCCAGTTCTGTTCCACAGACGAATCTGAAAACCACAAAATTTAGTGAAAGTGATAAAAATGGACCACTGGTGCAGGAACAGTGCTTACAGAAGGTAAAATCACAGGGTGAGACCATTTTAAAACCAGACCGCACTCTTCCACAGTCATGAAACTGCATCTTCATGAACAAAATACCTTTGCTTCCTCTGCCATTTTCTTCTCTTCATCCACCTCTTCTGTCTTTGCTGAATCTTCGCTTTGGAGTTTTCTTCTCTTTTGTTTGGGAGCCATGAAGCCTTGGAGAAACTTCTTTATGACACTGGCTTGTAGGGCAATCACACACTCACCAAAATCCTTCAGTTTCTCTAATGAGATCACCTACAGGAAATGATGGAAACACCAGAATGAATGAAAGGCCAAGATGGAAACACCAGAATGAATGAAAGGCCAAGATGCGAGGAGACTATCCTCAACTAAATTAAAATCAACCTGGGCCCCAAATGGGTCACATAGCATGAATTTACCTCGGTGCCTCAGTTCAGTGGGTGGTTTATACATTGAAAAGCAACTTATTACTTTCCCTGGCAATGGGACCCACGGGAGGCTGAAACTTGCTCCACTCAAGAAGTCATTCATTCACTCAGCAGCTGAGTACCTACTATGTACAAACTGCAGTCTCAAGGCAGAGAGAAAATGAGAAGGAAAATAAACATTACCTGACCCACCGGCTTACAAACTATATAAGCCAGGTAAATATGCTTTCCATACTTTTTCACCTAAGCCTCTCTCATTTATGTCCTGGATAAGGAAATCATTTTGATTCAAAGCATGCGCTTAAGTGAACACTACCTTCTCAGTCACACAAAACATGTCAATTAGAGATAGCATTTTAGAACAACAAAGAAATAAAGATGAATGATGGCAACCCGATGTTAGCAAGGTGTGAGCCTGGGTCTGGCACAAAGCAGGCAACAGATAAATATTTGCTAAATAAACAAAAAAGTATATGTTGATTTTGAAACTGGCAAAATCCTTTAGGGTTGAAGAATTCTTTAAAAACATCATTAAGAACAACAAAGATGTTTAAATCCTTTTTCTCAAGAAATGTGCCACGCATTCATAACCAAATTACAGAGAAAAGGCTGGGGGTGCCTGGCTGGCTCAGTCAGTGGAGCAAAAGACTCTGGATTTTAGGATGGGGAGTGTGAGCTCCACACTGGGCATGGAGATTACTTTAATTAATTAATTAATTAATTAATTAATAAAAGGAGAGAAAGCTGCATATATGTTTTACTAATTCTAACAGTAAAGACACAGAAATATGGAAGTCTGGCTGTAAGACATCTACCCTATCAACTCCTACCGTTATTATGTACCCCAAAGTAATATAAAGACGGAGAACAATGGAATGTATTTATAAATTAGGAAAAATGGGGAGAAAAGATGCAACTGCTCATAAAAAAAAATCACACAACTAATACATGTTTAATGCATACGTATAATTTGAAAAGACCCACAAATGTTATTACCTTTGGAGGTATATGGACTTTATCATTTAAAATCAGTAAAAAGCACTTTACAACAACTGATGGATAGTATTTTCCAATCTTCTCTCAGGCTGTGGTATATACTAAACCTACCTCACGTGGAACATGGGGTCTCCTGAACTGGTTCATCCACAGCACGTGACAGTCTTTTGGAGCAGTAAATGACAAGACCGTAAATGGGCCTTGAAATGTATCCATTCACCAGCACCAGTGCTACCCAACATTAAGCAAACCCTTCTGAGCCAATCAGTGACAAGGATGGACAAATGGGAATACACAAACATGTTTCAGACCTTAAAGCATAGGCACCAATTACATGGGAATGTTAAATAACAGATACGTTAAGCAATGTTCCAGAACTGTGACTCCAAAACCAGTTTTCTATTCAACTTAATAGAAAAGAGATTTTTGGAGAGCTTGGCTCAGTTGGTGGAGTGTCTGACTCTTGATCTCGGGGTTGTGGATTCAAGCCCCACAATGGGTGTAGAGATTAAAAATAACATCTTTAAAAAAAAAAATAGAAAAACTCTTTTTGAACAAAGGATCTAAGTGTATGATGAGATTTTCCAGATATCAAAGGAAAAATACCACATGTACACAGAGAATTTTTGGTTCCACAGGTCTTTCAGGACAAACCCACATGTGATTTCCGGGGTCATCTGGGGAAGTCAAGAACATCAGGGCACAATTCCGAATTGAGTTCACAGAAGTAACAGATTTCATTGGGTGTTTATGTTCTTACCCGAGCTTCAAATTCTGATGTTTCTTCCACATAACCAAGTCCCCCCTTTTGTAACCTTGTTGCAACTTCAATGAGATCACTACGAAGAAAGTTTAAAAGCTCCTGGTTGCCATCACAGGATTTTAGACCCAAATTTGGCTTCCGGGCCAGATGAATAGAATGAATAATGTCCTGGTACCTAGAAAAGTTGGGGTAGAGGGAAGGGGAAATAAAGGAACATTTCAAAACGGTCTATAAATTTCAATGACTTGAATGGCAGGTCTCATTTCTAGAAGACTTACTCAGACTGTTTTCATCTCTCCTGGGTGTTTCTTCAGACCCACGGTTTCTTGCACAAATTCTCAAATTTTTCTTATTCATTTTAAAAACACCCTTCTTTTATTCTGTATTTGATAATCCCAGTATCTGAAGTGGACTGCTTTACCTGGCTCTCATTCACATTTCCTGGTCTGGGTTTTGTTTTGACCTTTTTACCTTGAGTTTCTTGGATTTCTATCTGTGGAAATTCTTTGAGGCCTGGTTTGAAGCTTACTTCTCCACAAAGAATGTGCACTTGCTCATGTCAGCTGCCAGGAATTGCTACCAACCTGAGATAACTTTAAATCACCTGCCTGGAATTCCTTACAACATAGAAAAAAACATGAAACTGAGCAGAGACCCTACAGAAGGACCTTCAAGTTCACTCTCACACTACAGATTAACCTGCTGAAGTCCCAGCAGCAGACTCTCTTCTCTGTTGGCTTCTTACAACAAAATGAAAACTAAAGCTCAAGGTCATCTCCGTTGAGTTAGACTAAGTTTCCATTTCGTTCATTCCAAGCACTTTTCATATTATTTTCCTCTGAATACAACCTTCACTGTATCCCATGGGTTTTCTTACAAAGGATTTCCCTTTCCTTGCTTTCTAGAATTCCCTTTTATTTTCTTCTTTGATACGTTATCTAGAAATACATTTAACTTTCAGTTAAGATCCTTTGGTTATCTTTAAAGAATTTATTTCTAACTTTATCATAATCTGATCAGAGAATGTATCCTGAAATTACTTTTTTTTTTTAATTTCTTTTTTCAACGTTTATTTATTTTTGGGACAGAGAGAGACAGAGCATGAACGGGGGAAGGGCAGAGAGAGAGAGGGAGACACAGAATCGGAAACAGGCTCCAGGCTCTGAGCCATCAGCCCAGAGCCTGACGTGGGGCTCGAACTCATGCACCGCGAGATCATGACCTGGCTGAAGTCGGACGCTTAACCGACTGCGCCACCCAGGCACCCCCTGAAATTACTTTTTAAAAAAATTTTTTTTAATGTTTATTTTTGAGACAGGGAGAGGGAGAGGGAGAGACAGAACATGAACGGGTAGGGGCACAGAGAGACGGAGACACAGAATCTGAAGCAGCCTCCAGGCTCTGAGCTGTGAGCACAGTGCCCGATGCTGGGCTTGAACTCACAAACTGTGAGATCATGACCTGAGCCAAAGTCAGATGCTTAACCAACTGAGCCACCCAGGCACCCCTTACATCTGTTGAGATTGCTTTTGTGGCTGAGTATATGATTATCTTTTATAAATGTTGATGGATATAACAAAAAACTTCACTTCTCTGTTTCCAGTTGGCCTGGTATCTATCATTTTGTTTTTAAATTCCTTTTTTTATTGAGATAATTGAGTGCACACTCTATATCCTCCATCACTTATTTTCTTGAAAAGAGCATATACATTTTTGTTTTATAAATTTGAACCTCAAATGGTTTGTGATACATTATCCTATCCTTATCCCCTTGGCCACCCAAAGGAAATTCAAATAACCACCACCAAGAGAACAGATAAATTAGATTCACAAAGATTACACAAATTCGCAGAATCATATATAGAAAGGAAAACGATGGGAGTTCAGTTATAAAAATCACGGATGGAACCTGAACTAGTATGATTTTTTAGTATAAGAATGCTAACTAAAAAGCATTACATCTCAAAGACCACATATGCTTGATAGCCTTTAAAAAGTTCAAAATCAGCAAAACAAGATATGTGAGATTTTTTTAATGTTCAACAAAAGAAAAAAGTTTAAGTTTTGTTTTTAATTCCAACTATCAAAACTACTTTACCCAAACAGAAGGAAAGTCACATAACTATATTCCTTTGTGATTCTATGTGTTGACATTTTTCCTTGTCTTTCTTAATTTGCCTGGTCATATCTATATTAAAACAGCATGATTCAGAATGCAATTTTAATTAATCTCCACATTAACTACGAGACTAAAACTAGTATACTGTACCCACCATCACTCACAAAAGTCTGGAGAACTTGCAACGTACTGAATGGTATTTTCCTTCTCTCTTCAACCAAACCTAAATTAAACCATGAAAGTGTGCACTTGATACTAAAGGCAGCCTTAAGCCAAAACTTTGCCCTGTCTTTGACAGGAACAACGGCTAGAGCAGGACGGACACTAGCAAATCTCAGATGTAGACAGTTTTTGTTTTGAGGGGCTTTTTAAGACAGAATTCACATTAACATTAAACTCACCATTGTAAAGCATACACTTCAGTGGCTTTTATGTTGTGGAACCATCAAAACTACCTAATTCCGATACTTCCATCACCTCATGAAGAAATCCCACACCTGTGAGCAGTCACTCCCAATTCTCCCCGTCCCCCACCCACTGGAAAGCACCTGTATATTTTCTGTCTCTATGGAGTTGTCTATTCTGAAAGTCTTACACAAATGGAATCCTAAAACATGTGTCTGTTTACCTAGCTTCTTTGACTCCACCGTTTCAGCCACGTTGTAGCATGTACCAGTACTTTCTTTTGTCACTCAATTTACGGCGATGCTACATTTTGTTCATCCGTCAGCTGAAGGACATTTAGGTTGTTTGCATTTTTTGGCTATTTTCAATACTGACAGAATACTTCCGAATGCCAACTGATGTGGCACTGACCTTGCAAAGATGCCTAACCACAATGAGGACCTCAGCTCGCTGCACGGCACACACTAATCAACAAATAACCCTGCCACCCTGTACATACGTTAAAGTTTAAAAGCAGACTTTTCCAAATAAGCAGGAGTCAAGAAAATACCAAGCAACAAGGACATTAAAGGGTTACAGACACTTTTAAAAAATGTATTTTAACAGCTTTTATGAATAAACAAACAAAGATCCCCTAAGATATTTAAATGCTGAAGAGAAGCCGTGAGGAGCAAGATGAAAGTCCTTACCTCTTCTCCAGTCTCTCTTTAAGTTGACTTTCTCTTATTCCCTGAGGGTGAAGGCAGTTTAGCAACTCATCCAGTTCCTTCTGACTATCACATAAAAACCTGCAAGGAGCAAAACAGACCTAGTGACTCTGAAAAACAATCAAATACTAAGAAAGAGATCTACAGAGACCTAGGGTTGTTGGTGGGAGTTGGGAGAGAATTCCAAACTTGCTTACAAGTAGAATAATTTACTATTTCCATGAAGTGTAATGTTAAGTTTACCCTAGAATATTGAAGCCAATGTTTCCTACTAAAATAGACAAATTTTATAAAGTTAATAAGCACAGTTGTCACACACCTTCAAAAGAGTAAACTTATATACAAAACTAAAAGATAAAAGGTCATTAAACCAAAAGGTGGATCAGAGGTGGAACAGTTAATGCAATCACAAAGTGAAAGGGACCCTCTCAAAACCTAGCTCCCTGCCTGAAAGAGAACTGACACAAAAGATTATTACTATGTATACAATATTTTCTTCTTTAATTAATAAAGATGAAAATCCTAAATCTATTCCCAGAATTAAAAGCACTGCCAACGTAACGTAAGATCTATTATAGAACATACACAGTTACTTTATAAGGGGGAAATAAAATTCCAAAGCTTAGAAAAAATATATTATCAAAAAAAAAAAGTGTGCTTTTAAAGCAATGAGTTTACATATTCAAGAAATCAAAGTCATACAAAATGATCTTAATAATCACTGGTATCACTATATTAAATATTTTCCTTCTTTTTCTTAATTTATTATCTTGGGAGAGAGTGTGAACATGTGCACACAGGCGTGTGATCAGGGAAGGAGCAGAGAAGGAGGGAGAAAGAATCCCAAGCAGGCTCCACACTGTCAGTGCAGAGCGTGACGCAGGGCCTGATCTCACCAATCGAACTGTGAGATCATGACCTGAGCCAAAATCAAGTCAGAAGCTCAACCAACTGAGCCACCTAGGTGTCCCTAAAATATTTTAACGTGAAAAAAGAAAAAAATAGAGCAACCAGATAAATGCTCACATTACCATAGATTCTGTCCTTGTTTGGGTATGGTGGTCTCCACAGCAACTTCTGCTGATGGGCCAGATTGTACGTTCATGCTTACGTTTTTGCCTAGGTTTGCTTTCTTACCTAAAAAAAATTAAAACATTTGGTTGAATATAGTAAATACCCAACTCCTACTTTCAAACCTCAGTGGGACACAGTGTCAAAGCCAACAACTAATAACACAGATGCTGCATATTGAATATAGCCAATGTACAGCAGGTGCTAGTTTCTCTTAAACATCTTATGTACAGCGCATCATCTGAGATAATTACTCTCTATGCAGCTGAACAGCTGCAGAGTCCAAGGTTCAGAGTGTGGCAACTTAGAATGGAATGGGAGCACTGAGTAACTATCAAACAATTTACTTCTTGTGCATCTGTAGTGAAGTAGAGACAACTGAAACATATAAAACCATAAACTTACCCCTGGAGGCTTCAAATGTCAAACATGATTAACTTTTTTGTAAACCAGCTCCTATCTACCATTAGGACATGAATACAGACAGATCTTAAGCCAATGTGAAGCCTGTACTAATACTCTCATGGCTCCTGTCCCTTGCTCCCATTCTGCCCTCTTTACCCTGCGGGCACTTTCCCTGCAATAGAACACATGACCCTGTAGTCTTGAGTCAAGTGACTCTGAAGTGACCTTGCCATGCCTGAATGAGGGAACATGAAGCAACAACATCCGCCAGGATGCGCTGGAAGTGAAGGGACTGATGTCCATCCTCTCTTGAGAGCTAGAACTACGGAAACCTGATTTCTAAAGCCATTAAGCTTTTGAACATCATAAAATCAGTCTCTCCTCCTGCTGGAAACTCTCCCCCAGATCTGAAGATCCGGACTTCACATTTACTGCTCTCAAATACAACTGCCCTCATGTGGGTATTTACAAAGTTTACTAAAACTAGATATTTCTACTAAGTACTACAATCTAACACTTAATACAATGCACAATATGAAAATACCTGTGAAACTTTGAGCTATATATTAATTTCTTTAACAATTTTGAGTTTTAAGTTTGGGTTAAGAGTTTCTCTAAAATGAAGGAAAACTGCATTTTACAAAAATCTCTCCAAGAAATATAATGATCTAATATTTGAGAAGTAATTTGCATTAGGTCGTAGAAAGCAGAGCTAGAAGGAAGCTTGCATATCATTTAACCCAGGGGTTCTCAATTGGGAGCCAGGCTGCCTCCCAGGAGCCATGTGGCAATGTCTAGGGACATATTTGGCTGTCACTATTGCATCTAGTCCACTGAGGCCAGGGATGCTGCTAAATATCCTACAATACACAGGAATGACCTGACCCCCAACTACAAAGAATTATCTCACCCAAAATGTCAGTAAGGTTGAGAAATCCTGACTTAACCTCACCATTTGGTTTTTTCATTAAAAATTTTTTCTTTTAATTTCTTTCTTGAAATATTATACATATTATATATGTAAATGTTGTTATATATAATATATATTCAATATATACCTCAAGAAAAAAAGTGCCCCTCTGTATTTATTTTACAAACTGAATAGACCCGTGTAACTAGAACCCAGATCAAGAAAAAGAACATCAGTATCCCTTTATGACCCTTTCTCCGTCACTTATTTTTAGTTATTTGCTGTTTCCCCTCACTTGAATTTTAGTTAAATAACATTCAGGACCTTATCTGTCGTGTTTGCTATCTTGTAGCAAAACATGAAAAACTGGTTGGCACACACAAGATGCTCTACAAATACTGAATAAGTAAGTTTTGGAAGATGTGTAACTGCCTTCTTAGCCCCTTCACCTCAATTCCAGCCATTAAGGTACCTACAAAGAGACTTTTAAGGAACAAAGTTTGAAGACTACTTGTATAAAATCTAATACCCAAATATCCTAATATTCAAGCTCTTTTCAAACTATACCTGGAACAAAATTGGTAATCAAATGTTAGTTTCCTTCCTTCTTCCGTGCATTTCACATTCTCCCATCCCACTCAAATACATCTACCTAAGAAGACAATAAAGAATTCTTTCAAATGCAAAAAATGACAGAGAAAAGACAGTCCTTATCAATGACCCTACTCAAGCAGGGTAAAAGAAGTGGTAGATATATACATACTTCGGGGATAGTAATCCTCATCAGGAGAGTCCGCACGGTCTTTGCGGTGATTGAATCGGTAGTCGATGCTGTCATGTACCCAGCCTTTTTCAATGAACAATCCTGGAACTTCATCTGAGAAGAGCCAGTATCTATAAATCACAACCATATATTAGTAAGACAATGACAGATTATGAGCATGACTGTTAGTGGAGATGATCACACAATATCACTGAAAATTCAGATAGATACAAATGATAAAGTAAGGCACAGAATACCAACATTTTTGAAATTTGAGATTCACAGCTGTAATTTTTATAACTTCTAATATTTCTGTTTAGGTTCCACACAATGTACACATGCAAAATGTATCGCTATTTTTAATAAACTCTATTTGAATTACATTTCGCAAATCACAATAATTTAAGTTTCATATTTGTAGTATCTTCAAGAACAGGGTCATGTCTTACTTAACTTTGTAACTAGCATGTGGCACAGAAAATATTCAATAAATGTGTGAAGAGCAATAGTTTCTGAAATCCATAAATAGGGAAGCCTCTCTATTCTTGGTACTTTAGGCAGTTTCATAACTAGGAACAATATAACAGCTCTAGAAGATAACAAAAATTAAGTTTAGTAACTTACCTGTTATGGTTTCGATCTGTACCAATAGGAGTCCTGCGCATGACCAGCTTTGCCTTGGCAATTCCTTCCTGGAAAGCCTTCTCAGCAGCTGCTTTGTGCTTTCGTATTCGTTCTTCTTCAGCTTCACGTTCTAGTTTCACTGTTACAGATAAAAGAATCAACTAGATTTTTTTCCCTAATAAATTCTATTCTTACAAATTAAGTAGAACACAGAGTAGAAAGTACAAAGTCGATTTTCTGTCAAACCTTATTTGTTTCCTCCTCCTGATTCTGATCTGTTATAAGAAATGATGTGTTATAAGTGGTTGCTCTATGTCCTTTGAATTCTGATGATACCGCAACCATCGACTCAATGCAAAATCTTTTCTCTTCAAAATGTAACTTCTTACTAATTTTAATAATAAAATTAGATTAATTCTATTAATAATTTAAAATGGAACATTAAAACAGTCCCTAAAGGGAATTAACTGATCCTCAAAATTATGAGAATCAATAAAACCAGAATAGTTATTTTGAAAACATATTTTGATACTGAGGAAGCTGATTATTATTCAGCTTATTAGCCTTGGTGACAAGCAAAAAGAACTGAGAAATCAAGGGCGGGCAGGCAAGCACTTGTGGATAATAATCATCACTGCATACTGAATACCATTCGGGGGTTGGTTATTCAGCAAGTTACTACTGTTACAGATGAAAAAAAGAAGTTTTACTCAACTTATTCCCGATCATTCATCCACCCAGAAATTTCTCTCAACAACAAAAGCAGCTCAGTAATCTTGTCTTTTCAGTTTTTCTATAACTGTCACAAATTTTGAAACAGTAAGTATACAGTGCTGCTATTTACAAGGCCAGAATTTATAACACTGATCTTCTAATAATGACAGACTCTACAGTATGATAAGAATCTGGAAAACACATCAATCCACAGATGTTACTTTAAACAAGACAAATCTCAGTTATTTAAAACCAACATGATACTTGTTACCTTTAACAAAGTTTGCTCTCCTGAATGGAACTATGTTTGCAACAAGGATTACAGTAAACGTAAGTACAAAGGTAATGATGAAAACAGTAATGGCTTCATCACAATACAAGTTCTTTCTCCTACGGCCACAAATAAACAAAAAACTCAGGGCAAGTCATAAAAAGAAGACCAAATTTAGTTTCAGAGGCTATAGAACTGAAGGAGACACTGAAAGACCTGAATTCTAATTCAAGTACTGGCCTTGGCAAAATATTAACAGTTTCTGTCCCTTATTTCTCTACATCAATTAAGAGTGCCATAAATAAATAAATAAATAAACAAACAAACAAACAAATAAATAAATATCAACCGCCTTTCCTCTGTCCTGTGTTAAGATAAATATAACACACAGAAAGAAATACTTCAAAAACCCAAGAAGAGGGGCGCCTGGGTGGCGCTTTAAGCATCCGATTTTTTTTTTAATGCTTATTTTTGAGAGAGAGAGAGAGAGAGAGAGAGAGAGAATGTGAATGAGGGAGGGGCAGAGAGAGGGAGACACAGAATCTGAAGCAGGCTCCAGGCTCTGAGCTGTCAGCACAGAGCGTGACTTGGGGCTTGAAATCGTGGACCATGAGCTCATGACCTCAGCCAAAGTCGGGACACTTAACCTACTGAGCCACCCAGGTACCTCATGACTATTGATTTTAGCTCAGATCATTATCTCATGGTTGGTGAGTTCCAGCCCAGCATTGGGCTCCATGCTGACAGTGCTGAGCCTGCTTGGGATTCTCCTTCCCTCTCTCTCTGCCCCTCCCTCAATTGCCCAGGCTCTACCTCTCTCAAAATAAATAAACTGAAAAAAAGAGGGGGGTGCGTGGGTAGCTCAGTCAGTTAAGCATCCAACTTCAGCTCAGGTCATGATCTCATGGTTCATTAGTTCGAGCTCCATGTTGGGCTCTGTGCTGACAGCTCAGAGCCTGGAGCCTGGTTTAGATTCTGTGTCTCCCTCTTTCTCTGTCCCTCCCCTGCTCACACTCTGTCTCTCTCAAAAATTAAGTAAACATGTTTTTTTAACTTAAAAAACCATTAAAAAGAAAACTCAAGAAGAAATCATTACATTTCTGGTGAAACACAGCTAAAGTGTGATTACATACATACATATATATATACACACACACACGTATACATACACGTATATAATAGTTATATATACACAATTATTACATACATGATATACACAATGACTATATATAACTTTAAAACTGGAAAGTACACACATATAAATGCAATGTGTATATATATACGTGTGTATATATATATATACACACACACACACATATATGTGCGTGTGTATATATATGTAAAAACATTCCAGCGGCCTTACTTAGTATAACCTAAAACCTGTTTTTGGTTTTTTTTTAGGTTTTATTTATTTACTTATTTTGACAGAGCACAAGCAGAGGAAAGGCAGAGAGAAAGGAAGAATCCCAAGCAGAATCTGTGCTGCCAGCACAGAGCCCAATGTGGGGCTCAAACTCACAAAATGTGAGATCATGACCTGAGCTGAAATCAACAATCAGATGCTTAACCGACTGAGCCAGTCAGGAGCCCTTAAAATCTGTTTTAAAAGAAGTATTACATATACATGAAAGAACTACTGAAGTTATTTCTACATATCTGTCTAATTCTTGGTATCCAACTTTGACAAATAAATGGTTTTTACCATCTTCATTTCACAAGCTGGAAACTTTCCTAAGGTTGGATACTGTAACAGCGATCAAAATAGCTTAAAAATCAAAAAAAACCAATAAACATAGCAGGTTTACTGTGGGTAACAGCAACTATGAAACTTATTTTGTGTACATCATAAGACTGAGCAAATAAGTACACACTGATATTGATGGATACACTAAGGTTCTCATGATATTATAAGAAGGGAGATACAAATACAGAATGAGGGATGGCAAACCGGAACCGTTGGGTGTCAAAATTTAGGAATAAATTTAACAAAGTACAAAATGTATACTTTGAAAACTACAAAATATTTGTTGAAAGAAAGTAATGATCTAAATAAAGAAAACATCTGATGTTCATGGATCGGAAGACAAAATATCATTAAGAGAGCAATACTCAAAACTGACCTATCTACAGGGACCTATCTACAGTCAGTTGAGCGTCAGGCTTCAGCTCAGGTC